ATCTCAAAACAAGTTCTGCATTCCACTCTTCCTTCCCTTCCCAGGGCTTAATAATCTATCTAATCGGAGTGTTGGATAAATTATGAAAATCATATGTGTGAAGCTTTAATTCTGTCAAACCTACATATGTTCCCACTTTTCTCCACTTGGTGGAGCTCTCAATGTTGGCAAGACAATATGGATGTCCAATTACTTATAAAACTTGTCATTTTATATTAAAAACACCAAACACTTTTATTAGATGTATAAATAATGAATTAGGTTTAGCGAATTAATACCTTTTAATATATGACAGGGAGAAGCGATAATGCAATTTTAATATCAGTGATGAAGGAAATTAAACTGCAGGTAGTTCATACCCTTCTTGAAGACTAGTGAAACTTTCTACAATAATCAAATTGAGGACCATTTTTATTGGTAATAGCAACTGGATTAAACTTCAGTTAAATTTCAATATTAGCAATTATATTGATTTGGGGGGGGAGCTGTTTCTTTATTCAGAGATGCTAGTGACAAACAGCAGGAAGGACTGATACTTTAATGATATTCATCACAATATTACATTGCATCATATGCAATTGAAATCATCCCAGGAATTTTTGTTATAGTCCTTGTAAATTTCCCATATGAAAATTGACTAAATCTAGCATATGCGTTCAGATGAGCTGAAGACCAGCTGGAACACTGCAGGTTTGCCATGATATCTCACTGATTTATAAGTTTTGTAGACAAAGTGGTTAACTTTTTTAAAAAATTGAACATCGTACCAGTGAACCAAATAAGCTGGAGGATTCTTGGACTGCTAATAATTAGCAAACTTGTATCACTGCCATTTTGTAACTACCTTATAATGACAATGCTAATGGAAAATTAATAGCATATTCCTAGCAATTGTATACAGTTGAGCATTGAGGAAAATGCCAAAACAGGAATGCTTCTTCTATTTATCTAACAGATTGCACTTGATCCATTAATAAACAGCCACTACTACCGGTATACATTTTTCTTTGATTTGAGAGAAGATTATTACTGTTAGAAGCAGTAGTAACTTTATTTTGGATAAAATATTATTATTTCAGTTTGTCCCTGGTCAAGAGGGATATTGATATAAAAATTCAGAAGTGCAGTGTGATTTATCCATAATATCCAGGAGAACCAGGATATTAGAAAATGAAAAAAGTCTTATGTTGCAGAAGAAAGAGAGGAATAACTTAAATTCCTATGGAGCTGTCAGTATACAGGCCATCTATTTAGAACCAACGCTCACTGAAGGGAACAGAACACAATCCCAAGAAATTAAGCATAGAAATACAGCCCTACAGATAAGAGATATTAGAACTTTGGGTGATATCCAAAACCAAAGCAAGGTTTCTAAGGCCGAATTATTTAACAGCAGTACCAGCAAAAATATATCTGCCTACCCTACCCTATCCTTACTAAAAGTAAAATAAAGTTTGCTAGAACTTTAAGCATCTTCTTTTAGGAAATACTTCTCCATTCATAGACTCAAAATTTCTGAATTCTATGTTAATATATTTTGATTCTGGAGTTCGGTTGATATAATCTTTGGAATTTGCTGATCAGTATTATAAAGCAGTGTTTTTATGACACCTCTTGTTGTGACTGTGATCTAGGTATAGTACTATAAAGCAAAAAAATAGAAGTCCATGCAAATTCATAAATGCTGGAAAATTCCTTACTTAATTCCTGGACCTTGTTACTTATCCATCACTCACAATCAAAATTATTGTTTATTTCCCCTCTTTGCACATCCATAAATTAGAATGTCTGCATATGGACACTCATGAAGTACCCTATTTTCACTTGTGTAGCAACAATGCTAGAATGATGGCTTTACTTATACTTGTGATGTTTAATGTGTAATCTTGAGATCTGGATTTAGAAATATAAAAAAGAGCTTGATCTGACAATTAACCAATTGATTTCTCCAGAGCCATCCATCTCCAGCCTCAACTGAATGCATGCACTTATATAACATAAGTTATTCTGAATATCTTGAATTTCTTAGATTCTGGTATGATTTCTGAATAGATTGCTCCTCTTTAGCTTCTTTGCTCTCTGGCTGCAGAATGAGAAGGAAACATTAATTAATGTTAGATGATACTCACCTAGTTTATTAATACATATTTATTTATAAGATGTATATTCCACATTTCAGTATTTAAAAGTATGCCTACATTTTAATAGTAATTGTGAAACTACTGCAATGCAACTAAGGTGATGCTTTGTGATATTACCTGGAGCCTGTTACCTGAGCCGTGGTGGCACAGTGGTCAGAATGCAGTACTGCAGGTTAATTCTGCTGACTGCCCGCTATCTGTAGTTTGGCAGTTCGATTCTCACCGGCTCAAGATTGACTCAGCCTTCCATCCTTCTGAGATAGGTAAAATAAGGGCCCAGATTGGAGGCAATATGATGACTCTGCAAACTGCTTAGAGAGGGCTGTAAAGCACCGTGAAGTGGTATATGTCTAAGTGCTATTATTATTGCTGTGGATCTTGAGTAAATGGAGAAGGATTTTTGTAATCTAAGATCCATCTGATGGGGCTCCTGAAAACATTCAGGAGTGGGACTGGGAATTGGGTCTGGCAATGGTCAATGTCACTTTGAGGGAAGAAGTTTCAGTGGCTTTAGAGGCACTGCTCCATTCATTCAAAGGCCAGCCCAACCCCTTATCTTCAAAATCCCATTCTTGGAAAGATTGTTGAGAAAGTAGTGGGACAACAGCTATAAAAGCCTCTGGAGGAAACAGATTACCTGGACACATTTCAGTTTGGATTTAGGTCTTGATGTGAAGCAACTGGAAATACATTAGTTTATCTGATGAAGATGATAGAGCAGTCATTCTTCTTCTGTTGGACCTTTAGTTATCTCAACCATGTTACCCTTCTCTACTGCCTACAAGGAGACATTGCATTGTGGTGGCTTCACTCTTCAACTGCCTGAGAAATCCTATAAATTCATGCCAATCAAGGATGGAAAAGGAGGGGCACTGGAGCACCTTTAGCTTATCCAATGGGATCCATCCCATTCTATTAGGTGCTCCAAAACTAATGGAATCACTCATATCAGTAAAACGTAGATAACAGAGCTTTCTTATTACACAAGGAATATGATTCAGAAGGCTATTGCTACAGATAGAGATAAAGAACAAAACATTTCACAATTTCATGCTACAGAAGCTAACCAGACTATAGTTGAATTTTGCTTCCATGTTAGCTGCTTCTTCACCAGTGGTGGGGGATAGACTATCTGAGGAGGGGGGGCAATGGGGGAAGCAGAGCAAAGGTGATGCTTCTGTCCTGGCCACTCCTCTGGATCTTCTGCTTGCCCCACTTTGCCTAGAAGAGATGGATCCTCCTTCCCACTGGAGCTTATCTTTCCCTAATGAAAAGGGGCCACTCCCCACTTGAAGCTAATCACAAGCCACTGCAACCTCTTTTTTTCCTGCAAGACCTCTTTGTTTTTTGCCTTCATCTGGTTTCCACTCTAAGAATGAGACAGTCTTAAGTCTCTTTTTGTACTGGTATTTCCGCAGTACTTTCCCCCACAGTTTGGCACCATCCAAGGACAGCCTTGAGCTATGTAAAATCTGTTCCGTTTTTGTCATTTGTCACCTAACTTGGATGAAAGCCAGGGATTTGAAGCTGAGAGTAACAGAGGTAGAATAAGGCAGGGATTGGCAACTGGGAGCGGCCAATTTCACGCAGGTATTATTTTCAGCCCACTCAAGGATGGCTAGATAATTCTTCAAATCAACGGTGGATAAAAACCCTCGGGGAGATAAAGATATTTCTTCCGATTTCACTCGAATCCTAAATCGAGGCATTCGTGCATAAAGTAGTCCACGTTCACCCGTCGCACGCCGATTATGCTAAGCAGAATTCAAACGTGTCTATTTGCATGGCTAAGAAGACAGAAACACCAGCCAGGCTTTTTCTTTCTTTCTTTCTTTCTTTCTTTCTTTCTTTCTTTCTTTCTTTCTTTCTTTCTTTCTTTCCTTCCTTCCTTTTCTTTCTTTCTTTTTCTTTCTTTCTTTCTTCCTTCCTTTCTTTCTTCCTTCCTTTTCTCTCTCTCTCTCTCCCTCCCTCTCTCTCCCTCCTTCCCCCCTTTCCTCCTCCTCCTCCTCTCTCTCTCTTTTTCTTTTTTGAGCCGCAGGGAATTCTTATGGCCTGATCAAGGGTTAAGCGCTTCGCAGCAACCTTGGGGGGGGGGACCTTTGCTCATTGCTAATGAACTGACCCCAGATTGCCGCCCAGATTAATCCCTCTCCCACCATTCCGTGCTGCTGCCCTCCTCCTACTCTGTTCCCGCTCAAAGAAAGAGCTCTTTGAAAGCAGCAGCACAATGTGCCTCTCTCCCATCTTTTATTCCAAACGGACCGAATCCTTTGTGCTTCCCGAGCCGGATGGGAGGAGGGAGGAGCGCTCGGCGATGGCCGCCCGCCTAGCTCCATCCCTTCGCGAAGATGCTACTCGTCGTCGCCACGACCCCCCCAAACCGGCGTCCCAAAGGGCTCTTCTAGCATTGGGGGGGGGTTGCCTTTCTTGGAAGTGCCCTCCTCCCCCCGAGAGGCATCGGCCAGCAAGGGCCCCACCTTTCGACAAGCCATTGCCGCTTTAAGCGGAAGGCCATGCTGGGCGGTGGGTTGGGTCCCGGTGCTCCCCCTCGCCTCCCTCCCCACGTGGTCTCGGTTCTTGTGAATTTCAATCGCTAGAGGGTCCGCGGACAGACACCGGCCCCGCAGCTGAGGCTGGGGCTTCCGTCCGGAATCGGGGTTCCTCCTCATCGCACGAGCTCCTCCTCCCTGCCGCCTTTTAGGCAGGCTCCTGCCGGAATCTGGAACCGGCGACCGGCAGCCACCATGAGCCAAGGCAGCCCCGATCGGGCGAGCCGCGGGCTAGCGCAGCTTCCGAGTCCCGGAGCGGCGGACTAAGATCGCGGCAGCCTCCAAGCTCAGCACCAGCCGCGGGAGGAGAATGCAACGAGCGGGTCTGGCCGGGCTGGGCTCCGTGGCCGTGCTCTGGCTGCTAGCTTTGGCTTCCTTGGTGGGGCTGTGGAGCGGACGGATCGGGGACCCCAGGACGACCGAGCCGAAGTTCCCGCAGGAGCCGGCCGACTCGCCGTTCGGCGGCATCCAAGTAGCGCCGGCAGCACCGAGCCGTCCCCTCCAGACAAGTCGCCTCCAAGCCGCCCAGAAAACTTTCCGAGCGCTGCTCACGCTCCCGGGACAGTCGACGGAGCTCCAGGAGGGGCAGGGGGAAAGCGGGCAGGAGCCGCCGCCGCCTCCTCCTTCGGCTCGCCCTCGGCGGGAGAGGCAAGGCGCGATGGGCGCCGAGGAGCAGTTTCCCTTCTTGCCGGTGCGCGGCGGGGTTTTCTGGAGCCAGACCCTGGAGGCTAAGGTGCCGCCGGGCTTTCCGGCGGAGGAGACCGCCTCGTGGCTGCGGGCGGCCCGGGAGGCGCGCGTCGTGTCGCTCGAGCGCGGCGGCTGCGGTCGCAGCTCCAACCGGCTGGCCCGGTTATCGGACGGGAGCCGCGCCTGCGTGCGCTACGGCATCAACCCGGAGCAGATCCAGGGCGAGGCGCTCTCCTACCACCTGGCCGGGCTGCTGGGCATTCAGGAGCGGCTGCCGCCTCTGGCGCTCTCCCGGGTGGAAGCCCGCGGCGGGCAGTGGGCGGAAGTGCGCGACGAGCTGCGCGGCTCCCATTGGGCCGAGGGGGCCGTGGTGAGCCTGGCCCGCTGGGTGGACAATCTGACCGACGTGGTGGCCCCCGCCCCCTGGCAAGCTGAGGCGGGGGCGCCGGCGGCGGGCCGGAGGCTGCAGCCCCTGGCGGCGGGGGAGCTGAGAGGCCTGAGCCAGGCGCAGCTGGTGGAGCTGGTGCAGTGGAGCGACTTGATTCTCTTCGACTATCTCACGGCCAACTTCGACCGGCTGGTCAGCAACCTGTTTAGCCTGCAGTGGGACCCGCGCGTCATGCACCGGGCCACCAGCAACCTGCACCGGGCCCCCAACGGGGGATTGGTCTTCCTCGACAACGAGGCCGGCCTGGTGCACGGCTACCGGCTGCTGGCCATGTGGGACAAATACAACGAGCCTCTGCTGCGCTCCGTCTGCGTCTTCCGCGAGGCCACCGCCCAGAGAGTGCGGGAGTTGCACCGCCTGCGCAACGCGGCGTCCGAGCTGCTCAGGCTCTACCGGACTCGGGAGCCCCTGGCCGAGATTCTCGGCTTCCTCTCCGAACAGCAAGCCCAGATGCTCCAGGAGCGCATCGACTTTGTCCACAAGCACATTTTGCACTGCAAAGCCAAGGCCGCCGCTCCGTGATGCTCTTTGGCTTGGCGAAACCACCTGGATTTTATGAGACTCGGAAGGGATTCGGGAATGGGGGGAGAGAAGGGCGCCTGAAGGGGGGTCTTTCCCCCCCTATTCAAGGGCCTGGGGATCACTATCCATCCCTAAAGGAAATCAAGGCTGGAACCCACTTGGGGTTGACAGGAGCCCCTCCGTACAGAATGTTCCTGAGGTTTCACGGAGGAATACGTGGCAAGCCCAGCTAAAAATGAACAGGATTCCGAGTTTTTGTTTTGTGAGGATGAATAGCCAGTAGCTGAACTAGTTCTTGTCTCTCAGATACTTTGTTCCTGGAATCTATCTGCAGAATGTGATCTTTCTTTATCTGACACTCCTAGTGTTAAGTTCCCAGTTCCTGAAGAAAAAGCGCCTTGCTGCCAATTTCCACTCCTCTTGTGACAGCTGGGGAGGCCTGGATGTTTGGGAGAGATGCACTCACATGGCCTTCTGCACCCTGGGAACCTCCTAGATGCATTGAACCACATCTTACACCATGCCCCAGCTGGCATGGTGGCTGAGGGTGATAGAAGTTGTAATCCTGTTCAACAGGAGGGTGCCATGGATTAAAATGTCACAACCCCCCCTCCGTTTTTCAGAATTAGATGTAACAATCCCCCCCTCCCACCTTCTACCCCGGATCTGCACTATTGCCTATTACAGAAAAGGTCAAAAATATCTTCCTAGTCTGCAGTTTTTGTCAGAATTGCTGTGAAGATGCTGACAGTAGTTGGGAGTTAAAAACATAGCTGAGTTTAGGAGATGATTCATGCCTTTGATATAATCTATACATAAAAATTAGCTTTCTCTGTTCACATTTCCCTTATCGGATGTTAAAAGCTCTTAAAAATCAAATTAAAAGGTCCTGTACAAAAGCTGTGGCCAGTGCTTGAATGGAACACCTCCCTTGTCCTTCCACTGGACATCAAGAGCTACATGTGTTTCTTTGTCACACCCTTTTTTAAAAAAAAGAAAACTCCACAAAACAATTTAATATCTAGATACTGTAGCTCTACTTACAGAACATTGTTTTCTAGTGAATTTCCAGTCAACATGGACAGCAACAAAGTCAACAGTTATAACAAATATGCAGAAAAGTCAATGTTAACACCTTTTATCCCTTAACAGTGAGAAGTATTTGGCAAAAAAAATATGGTTCCACAGCATTTCTGTTTTATATGTAACCCACTATTGTATAATAAAATGAGGGGGGGGATTTCCAGGTTTATAGTATTGTCAGTGTAGTAAATTTTGATGCATTAATTTGGAGAAAGGAAAAATCAGTTTCTTGCACTTTACTTTCTTTTTATATATACATATATATATACAAAATCTTGTTATTTAAAAAAAGTCTGCATTTTAGGTACATGATATATGTTCTTAAGCCTTTCTGTAATATACTAAAGAACTGGATATTTCAGTAAAGATGTGTTAATGTTTTGCCTCTTTTGTATCCAAGTTTTAGATTTCATTGTTCTATGAAGTTTTTCTTTTCTTTTTCCATAATTTGAATGGATATTTTTCTTTAGCCCAAGAGAGTTAGTGATAGAGTTATTTCACACAGTAGGGAGAAGAATCTGGCATATAGACTTATTTTTTATAGCTGGATTTCCTGCATTAAAGTATTTAAAATCAGATGAATATCATAGGCTATATAAAACATACGCCTTGTAGATTTTACTGGTCTTTATAAGTGTCCTTCCACATGCTTCCAAGAAAACAATTATTCTAGTTTGATTTAATTCTGTCAGTTCAAATTTCAGCACAGCCTACTCTTGACTCTTTCACTGCTGTAAAAATCTTCCTTCAGAACTATCAAAATACTGTACTTATGACTATGAGCAATTTTCAATAGCTGTTAATTTCTTTTCCATTTTGGTTTCTGGCAAACAAGTTACAAATGAAAAATCTCTGCCAAGAATAATTTAGGACTTTTTTTTTTTTTTTAGCTCAGCTTCTCTTTTGACTGTGGTGGTAGTACCTACAGAAGCTGAAATTAAAAGCATCATGACTTTTGCTAAGGTTCAGTGCTTCAATCCAATACTGTATTTATGAATGGAAGTTCCATCCTTTTCATGACAGTCCCCTGAGTTTTAATGAATTGGCTAAGGGCATTTCTTAGAAATGTTTGCATATGGATATGCTGTTGTGGACTGATAACTTATGCTATGTATCAGTAACAATATTGGGGCTCAGATCTTTTGATACTTTGAAGAACCAGTTCTGTACAAGCGAAAGCAGAGGGAGAAGTTTTAATTTCCCACCAACTTTAATCACTTTGTCACATCTAGAGCATATATAGTGTTAGAGATTAGAGCCAGAAAGAATTCTTAAGAAGGTAGAATAAGTGTGCAGGACCTGAGTTCTGGAATTCTGTCTAGTTCTTTACCTGTAGCAGCTATAGTTGATGTGTATATTTTTGTCTGTGTAAAGGGGTACAGAAGCATTTCTATTTTCCCCATGCAGGGCATCTTGTCTGATTAAATATATGTGTGCCCTGGGAAGTAGAGGGCAGGTTGTATGTATGCTTTTCTAGGTCATGTGACCAGGAGAGATGTAAGCCAGAAAAATTTCTGGTGACAAAATTTTATGCAGAAAAAAAAAATCACTGGAAAGGAGAAAATTCATCATTTTCCTTCCACCACATCAAACATTAGCCTAAATACTTGTGCAATCTATAGATATTGGGATGGATATATTAATAGGAATCATTTGCATAGTATACTTTTCTGAAATATTTTCCAATTCAATTTTTTTTTCTGTTAACCAAGAGGTGAAGAGCTAAGAACTTAAAATGGAGCCATCAGCAATATTCTGATTCAGTGTCTCTCATATAGGGATGAACTAAGAGTATTTAAGTCTTTTCATTAGGTTGGAAAGAATAAAAAGGGTTTTTTCGATGGCTTCTGGTAAATTGCAGCCTTTCAAAAAGCTGTTTTTCAATGGTGGGATCTCTTTGAACCTTTGTGATCATAATTCCTTCACAAATGAACATTGTGGTGTTTGTAAGCAGGCACACCATGTCTGAGAAGGAAAAATTACGAACAATCTCTAGATGGGGGCAAAGAGTTAAGCGTTTTGTGTATTTCTTTTCTGCTATTTTAGTGGAAATCCATATTTTTACAACCCAGCTATGGTAGCCCTGGTTAAATACTGGACCTTCAAATGTTTTAACTAAGTTATAATCTCTGAGGGAAATGGATGATATAGAAATATTATATATATATATGCTCTTTCCTTCCACAGCTTCAATTGACAAGGTTCTTTATTTAACTCTTATTTATAGCTCACAGCTTTTTATCACTCCGCACAAAGCACAGGCTCCCATGTGGCTTCTTTTGCCATTTACATGATAATATGGAGTTTAACTGTGTAATTTTTTTAACGTGTATGTCAGCATGAGTTTTGTAGCTTACCAGATGCAGTGCCTCAAGATTCTTTCACCTAATGAAAATACATTGAAATAACATGGCAGCGGCAGCATACATTTAAAATCATCTATAAAGGTAAAAGGCAGTGCTGTAAACATCCCAAGATCTTTGTTTAAGCATTCTGGAAATCTCAACTGGATCGTGGCTTTGGCGGCTTAACAGATGATTCATCTTTCTTGCCATGGTGTCAAAACTAAGTCTCAGATAATTGCACCTTTCCGAAAGAATCACAGGGCGTCTGCTTTGATGATCAGTAACTATTTTACATGATACTCCAACAGTAGGTTCAGAAATGAGGGGCTACATGGAAAGCAGAGGAGAAAGAGGGAGAAAGCTGCAAGCAGTGGAAAAATGGCTTCATAAGGGACAATAAGGGTTGGAGTATAGATTCCAGAAGTATGTGTGACTTGGTTCAGACCTCACATTATAATACTGCTTTTAACAATGAATTACTAAATGAGAAATATTATCCTAGAAAGCTCATAGCATGAAGCTACAAATCATCATTTACAACCATAATGGGATACTGAGCCAAAACCTAAACAATAGAGTGTGATATGCATTTTGCCCTCCTTGGTTCCTTTATGTTGGTTTTATTTGGTTTGATCTTAATATTTTATTATAGAATTAATTGCTCTCTCAGTTAAATAGCAATAACATTTAGACTTATATACCACTCCATAGTGCTTTACACTGCTCTCTGGGTGATTTACAATGTCAGCATATTACTGGTTCCTCATTTTACCGACCTTGGAAGGATGGAAGGCTGAGTCAACCTGAGTCAGGATCAAATTCTAGACTGTGGGCAGAATTAGCCTGCAATACTGCATTCTAACCACTGAGTCACTAGGACTCCTATGAAACTGGGTGTTGATGAGGTGTATTTATATTCTGTCATTAGATTTCAGTGGGACTCTCACATACCTGAATATTCCTGCTTCCCCAGTTTATCTCTATTTAGAAAACTAGAGGAAAAAAATAGTTCTAGCCTAACATTCTGTATCTGAGTAAACTCTGATCTTATAATAATAATAATAAAGTTGGAAGGGACCTTGGAGCTCATCGAGTCCAACCCCCTGCTCAGGCAGGAAACTCTTTTCACTTCACAGCCTCTGATATTCTAAGGTTACCAATGAACTTAACTTATGCAGTTTTGTATTAAGACAACAACTTGAACAACAGAAATGTTGCTTTCTGGGCAAAGGCTTTCGAGAGACTTAGTGACAATGGACACAATCAACTTTTCAGCAGCTTTTAGGTAAAAGGCAAGATAGGGCAGGTAGCTTTAGCCTTGCTTATCTTTGAATTTATCTTGACACTGAATTGGAAACATTTTTCATTCTACAAAGGCCAAAATAACAGATTTTAAACGAGTTGCATTGTGTTCTGATTTACTTTCATAAAACTAGAACCTAGTTACTTGGCAAAGCATAACAGGTAAAGAATTTTTTTATCCTTTTCACAAGGAAAGCAAGAGCAATATATCTGTTTTGTTTTACTTTTTAAAAAACCTCAATTCTCCAGTCTTAACTTCCTCAGAACCGG